GGTGGGGGGGGAGGGGCAGATGTTAATGACTTGGGTTGTGCACTTGGCAGTTAGCTGAAGCAAAGGACAGGTGGGGAGGCGGAGGAAGACACGGGCAGCAGTAGCCTCAGAAGCTGTCATGGAGAAGCAGGAGACACACACAGAAGACTGCAGGGTGCTGAGAAGTTTTGAGGAGGACTGGGCCTGGGCGAGGAGAGCCCCCTCAAAGGAATGCAGAAAACTTTATGCTGGCATTGAGGTAGGACTTGGGGTCAGCCAGAGAGAGTTTAGCTGAAGTCTACTTGGAACAAAAGGGCTCGCTAAGATAAAAAGGAGTGTAGAAATGATTATAGGGACACGTCTAATGTACATAAGTAATAAGATTCTGAGCTTTTCCAAAGAGGACATTTGCATAAAATAGATTTATTCATCCTATGTTGGGAGAGTCTGTGGATGTATTTGAAAGTAAAAATCTTGAATTTCTTTTAAACTAAATCATTCAGGGGAGTTCTCAGAAATTAGCAAGTGATTACTGTATTTAGCTCTATATTTGAGGCTCAAATAATATGTGGATTATGCAGAACCATTGTTTTCTTTAATCCCTTACTGTTCTGACAGTACTTCTCTCCACCTGCATATACACTAAAAGCCTGGGTTGCCTTCATCAAAGGACTGTTGAGGGCCCTGGGAAATACAGAGTGGAACATCTGCCCTGTCCCAGCCAAAGGCTGCTTCAGGCCAACTCTGGGAAGAGACCAGATGAGGCCCACAGTCCGCGCCAGCTCTGGGATCTGACCCCAGCAGTGGGGGGCAGCCCGGAGAATTCCACGCATAAGCAGGCACCTGGAAGCAAGCCCGTGGTCATTGTGGTGAAGTCTTAGAACCACGCAAGACGACTTCGAAGTATCGCTACAGATGAACGTGTGTGAGCTGACAGCAGAACATCTACAGGCCGAGAGAGAAGACACATCACTGATGCAGGTTGTGACCCATGATCGGGAGAACAGCAATGTAGAGGGGTGAGCATTTCCTCTTAGAGAAACTGAGGCTGCATTCTTTATCTAAAATGATGACAGGACTTTTGACTAAATTTCAGGGATTGACCATAACCTAGAGATGTTTGCCTTTAGCAGACACAGCAGGGTGAACCCACAGCTTGGGGCTCCTTAGAGTAGTCAGTGTGAGAAGCCAAATGGTCTCCACAGCACTGGCCTCTGCCGTGTGTGCTGACCTCTCTGAGGTCTTCCTTCAGGGGAATGAAAACCCTCATTTGGAATTTGGCACTGTAAATAACATCACCCTTAAATTATTTTTATTGTGCTATTCTGCAGTGTAAATGATGGGGGATAGGGCATTACTAGGAAATTCTGGGTTCACACCGTGGCATTATGAGATCAAACACAGGTCGAAGTTTAGCTTGTACAGCCTATCACAGACTCCTCATCCCTGAACTCCGTTACTGTGTAAAAGGACAAATGCCACCTCGAAATGTAGCCCACTGGGTCTTACATGAGAACTCGGGTTGGCAGTGCTGTGCAGTTTTGTCCTGAGAAAGCAGCAGTTCCTGTGAAAACCCTGGCATAACTGAAACCGTGCCAGGGGATAAGACCGTTTGGTTCAGAGCAGGCAGCCCTCTACCTTCATAGCTCCCGAGGCCATCAGTGCAGTCAAGCAAGCATCAGAACCCCTACTACTAACAGGGAGTTGGGCAGAAAAGACGTAGTTATGTTCTCCCTACTCTGTGCCAAGAGCAGAGAGGTAAACTTCAGGTGTGTGGTGCATCAGTGTGAGCTACAAGTGTGCAGGGAGGCCACCTTGCCCAGGCCAATGTCGTTTGTGCCCTACCAACTCCTGTTGAAATTTGATAGCCGCGGTGATGGCGCTGGGAGGCAGCGCCTCTTAGAGGTAGTGAGACTGGCAAGAGGGACTCTCTTCTGTAGGCCTGGGTAGTCGCCCTGAGGCCCTTTCACATCTTGTCTCCTCAACACATGCCCACTCCCACCGTGGTCCAGAGCTGCATAGGAGCCACCCTGTCAGAGATTCCAGCTTCCAGAACCAAGGTCAGCTTCTGTGCTCCACGCATACCCAGTCTCGCATCAGAACACCAGACTGACACAGAGTTTAAAAGCGGTCTGTGCGCACTAAGCAATACTTCAACATATAATCTTGGTGTCCCTAGAATTTTAAGTTCTCCAAAAGCTGTAATTACAGGTGCTATTCCAAGTTAGAGCTGCCCGAATCTCAGAAAGGAACAGAAAATGCCACCCTTGTTCTGTCCTCTTAGGCCAGAACATGCAACACAATGTCCTGCAGCTACGTAAGGGAAGACAAAAGGGAGGATCATGTATAAAATAGTTTATTACCACAATAAATAAACTCTCCTTTTACAAATATCATTTGTGCTTGTTTAAAAATGTTGAGAAGGGAGCATCTTCAGTGGAGGGCCACTCGGGGTCCTCTTCACATCCCTAGTCGCAGACCTAAGGCAAAGTTCCTGGCAGCAGCCTCTGCTGACCACAAAAATAATACCGACTCATTTGCAGTTTTTCATGCTCATTCGGGCAGAGTGACAGACGTGAAGGAAAAAGGACAACTCAGTAAAGGATCTGGCAGGACTTAATGGAAAGACTGTAAATACACGGAGGCGGCCCAGAATGCCACCTGCTCAGGAGCAGAAGTGTCCTTGCTGTGGAGTGCTGGCCTTGGACTGTCTGCAGAGTGCACACAGAGACAGGGCCTGAATGTTAAGAGAATATATTCATTAGGACATCGCATCCTTGAAGCAAATGCAGTTGTCTCCTGAAACAAGAGCTGTGAACTTGTCACTGAACAGCTAACGGGTCCACTGGATGACTCCAAAGTCTCAGGTAAGGGAAGAGAGGCTCTAAGGGAAGGTGAGTGGCAGCAGAGCCCCCCCCCCCAGCTCTGGGACTCGCAAGGTATCAAGTCCAGCTCTCGAGGTGCCAGAAGAGTCCGACACGCTCGCATGAGAATGAAGTTTCCCTTGAAACGAACTTAAGCTGCAGGTAAGTTCACATCGATTCTTTTGAACTGTGGGTATGGAAAGTAAAAGTTCTCAACACCAACGCCTTTGGTGAGAAAGCGCTACTTTCTCTGATGCTTGCAGTCGATGCTGAGAGGACTGTGAGGTGTCCACCGGGTGGAGGGCACAGGAGCTGGTGAAGGTCATTCTTACAGAAGCAAGTGAGAAGGCAGTGCAGGAAGCCATGACAAAGACTCAGCGGCACAGGGATGCTGCCGGAGCTACGGCACACCTCTGAACGCAGCAGTCACGAGGCAGGGCAGGGACAGGGTGGCTCCCTCAGCTCCAGTCCATCGAGAGGCTTAAGGCTAAATATCTTTATTGCAAACATAGTACAACCTGTTCGTCAGTGGACAGCAGCAGCTCGTACTCCACCAGAGCTCCTAAAGAGGTCCCAGAGTGCACGTACAACCAGGGGAAGGAAGGGTCTGCTCCATCTGGAGCTCCCAGAAGTCTTTCAGCCTAACCTGGACAAGACAGGCGGCTGGTGCCGACTTGGAAGATCAGCACTGCTGATGGCGCAGGGCGACGGGGGTGTTTTGCCCTTTGCCTAGGCCTTCACATCAGCCTGTTGGGATGTGTGTTGGAAAATGGACCTTGCTTGAATCACGTTCAAATAAGGAGTTTAGTGGAGATCAAGTAAGCAGCACGTACTGGAAAAAGGTGCAACCTATCTCCAAAACACAACAAAAATCTCACAGGTCTCGCTCTCCACAGAATTTTTCCAAAGTCCAGGTGCTCAGTGTAATACTCAGTAGTTTTCTCTGGCTTATCTTCAGCCATTGGATTTCTACTGCAAGGCGCAGGTCAGGGGTGGCTGAGGGGCTGAGGTCAGGGGAGGCTGAGGCTGAGGTCAGGGGAGGCTGTCCTCGCCCAGGTACCCAGGGTTGTACCCAGCAAGGGCAGGTAGGCAGCACGAAGTAGCCGGCACCCAGGTACATGTCATGGGAAGTAAAAAGGATCGGCTCATTTAAAAACTGGTTCTTTCAGAGAAAATGACTTTAGCAAAAACTCCTTAAAATCATTAAATGGAGAATAAAAGCAGATACGGCCACATCTGTGGAGCTCTTAACTGTCACCTGCAGGAATCATGCTATGGGCCCTGCAGCCTGAGAAGAACAGATCTGCACAGCAGGCTGGATGCTTTCCGGAAGCTTCCTCTCCCCAGAACCAGGCTGGACTCCTGAGGCGCCCAACATCTGCCCTTCAGACCCAGGCAGGCAGGCGCTGTCTAACGGACGACTCCTCGGCAGAGCTGGGAGGTGGCTGACGGGTGCTAAGCGGGGCCTACCATCAAGTCCCAGGGAGGGCGCCCCTGCAGCTGGACATCGGGGTTCTGAGGCGCCCCACCCTGCCTCAGAGGAGCAGGTCCTCACCTATCCAGCGGCTAAAAGGGCAAACGAATATGCGGGGCCCAGGGCGCAGAGGGGCTTCTCCCTGTTCTGCAACCAGGAAGTCACACTTCCTCATGAGCTGCCATCTGGATTGCATCGAACATCACCTGGGTGCCGCTGGCCTCCTGACTCACTGCAAAGCTGTACATGCACACGCCCTTCGCCGCTGAGGGCCAAGGGTTTGGAAGGGTGGAGAGGCCCAGAAGGAGGCCTTTGGGAAGACAATCTTTGGTAGGACAGGTCTCCGTCTATCAGGTTTCCTAAGGACACTGGCATTCGGAATTTTTACAGCAAAGTGATGCCAGGCAGAGCAGCTGGGGATGCGGTCACCACAGTGCTACCCAGGCAGAGGCCCACAGGCTGAATGAGGCCATGCTGTTGCCGGCGTCCATCTCTTAAGGCTGACTGCGGGCCCTGGTGCCAAGGCAGTGAGCATCCTGAGCACTGTGACACCGGATGCGGCTGCTCTCGGACCACAGCTCTGAGTTCAGATCTTCATCGCGGACCATGGTTTGCTCTCAGCCGTCTCTCTCCTTACAGAGACAGCTTGAAAACTCCAGCTCCTGAGCACTTTACAAGTACAGCCTGCCATCTTTTCTTAGCAGGAAGTAGAGAGGCTGGCACTGGAACAAGGCCAAGCTTGGCTCCCAGGTGTCCTCTGATGACCCTGTGCAGTAGGAAAACAAATCTCTGAAGGGCAGTCCCTGTGAGAATCAGTACAAACGGCACTGCTACAATCATTTTTTGAGGTGGGGTGTGTGTGTGTCCATAAAGCAATTCTGGGCTCCTGCCCTTCCTGCTGGTGCCGGTACCCTGAGGAATGCCAGGAAAACACTTGGGGTGAGGTCAGAAGAGACAGATGCAGAGTGGCTTTGCGTGGGGCAGGGCCTCATGCGGAGGGTCACCCAGCGCCTCTGAGTGGTGTCAGGAGAAGCAGCCCGCAGGCCCGGACAGCTCCTGAAGTCAAGCCCGTTCCAGGGTCCCCTGGCCTTGCTGCTCTGGGCAGACCTGAGGGTGCTCACTGCGTCTGGTGAGTGGCTGTTTGGCTTCCCGGTCCGGAGCTTGTTACCAGTGACACTGTAGGGAAATGGATGAAGCGGCAGTGAGCCGTACAGGGTGCGGAATGCTGAGGTGGCTGCCCACCGTGTCTCGGGGCCACGGCACGGAGCCCCGAATGGCATCCACACGCTCCCACTGGTCCCAAACCGAGGCTGCTCTTTCTGGGAGTTTTAATCTTTTATAAATTTCACGGTAGTACACAGCTTAAAGGAAAACGCCCTTTAGACAGCACGTCCTTCTCCTGGAATGGGCAGTGCAGTCTGGCAGGGGAGCGGTCCCACCTCTGTCGCAGAGCGCCCGCGGCACAGGCCTTTGCCGGAGAAGGGGTGACTGGTCCCTCGCTGGGGCATGTGTGGCAGGGGGGTCAGGGGCGGGGTGCAGGCTGTGACTGTTTTAAAAAGAAACCTCAGCACGTTCCAAAAATGTCTCTCTCAGAGTCTGGGGACTGGGGCCCCGATATCTCGAACAGCTCCTGTGGAGACTGAGAGGCTCTTCTGGCAGTCAGTACCCTGAGGATCTCCGAGAGCTGCTGCTCGATGCCGGCCATCTTGGCGTGCAAGGCCTTGATGTCCTCCTTCAGCTCCAGCTTCACCTCCAGGACGGTGGCCTGCAGCGTCTGCTCAGGGATGGGGTAGAACGAGTGCTTGACCTCCGCCAGGACAGGGCTCCGGTCCTGCGGGCTCCTGGCCTCGCCCGCGCTGTCCAGGCGCAGGTCGCTCTTGGTGATGCCGCTGTCGCAGGAGTCCGTCTTCTTCAGCGTCGCCTCGCCGGCCGCCTTGGTCCTCTCGGGCAGCGTCTCCATGGACTCGGCCTTGGACACCTTGCTCCAGTCCTCCCCCTTCCCGCAGGCGTCCTTGAAGCGCGCCCAGCCTCTGCGCTTGGCGCCGT